AGTTGAAGAGGATATTTTACTGATATTTCTTAGTCTACCAACTTCACTTTTTGAATGAACAAATAACTATATAATATCTGATTGTGATATATAGTATTAAATAGAACCTCGGGCTCCACCTCCACAGCCCCGCCCCCTGGCTGCAGGGCTGGGCCACGTGGCTGGCGGCCGGTTGTGGCTCAGTTCTTTGGCCTGCGGACTTTGGGGCACTGACAAGAGAGTAAAAGCTCAAGTTCTCGGTTTGGACCCGCTAGGAATTGGCCGCGGACCTTTTCCCAACCACAGGCACTGGGAATTCACCTTTGATTCTCACACACCCTTCCTTACAGAGTGAGTCCTTATCTCAGAAGTCCTTTATAAGTCACCCACCCGCTTTACCGACTGGCCCTGCCTGTGGCTGGTGGTCATGGTGTTCATTTGCATTTGTCTAATCCATAAGCAAAGCTGAGGCATAACACCGACAGCCTGTATCGGCTGGCACCAGCGAAGTATCAGTCCCACCGCTTTGTAAGTGCATGACAGCAGCCAAATTGCTGTTAACGTCTCTGACTCAGTTTCTCATCAGAGATAGTCATAATGACTATTTCATGGGTTGTTGGGATGATTAACTGAGTGATACACGGCAGGAGTTGGAGGAAGAGCCTGGCTCCTTGCAAGCACTCAACAAGTATGACTTGTTATTCCCACCCTCCCCAGTGGAGGAGGATTTACTCCCCCCTCCCACCCCCCTTGTTAGACTCACCCCAGTTCCTCGGGGACTTGAGATGGAAGCATTGGAAAAGTTCAGGCTTGAGCTCAGGGTCCCTTGAGGACATTTCTGTCAAGCAGAAGCACTATGGAGCTTATTTTTCTACTGTTGTTCCAATTTATCAGGCCAGACCCCCAAAGCTAAAGTCTAATTGAGGTTGTTGTGGGCAGAAATTTGCATCACTTACATACCCAATCTATATGGTTAAAAAAAAGTTTATTTCAAAATCCTAATTATAAATTAAGAAATGATTATTCACATTTCACAGAATGCTTAGTTTTATTTTAAAAGTTAGATGGCCAGGGCTTCTCACAAGGGTGCCTTAAAAACTTTTTGACTTAAACTTTATTTTTGCAAAACAATGTCTAGTATGTAAAATGAGATGCACCTTTTATTAAGTGAAAATTTAGTAAGAAAATTCTAATTGGTTAGAAAATGTCCCTCCCTTGTCTCCGTCCAGACTCCCATTAATTTTCAAGAGGCCACAACTCACTGACCCTTTGAACACTACACCACACCTTTACCCGTAGTTAGAACACAGGGTAGAGGGGAACAACAACCGTAGAGCAGTAGTTTAGTCAGTAACACAATGTATTGTTGAAAGCTAACAGAATCTCTGCGAAGTGAATATTAAATAGGATCAACTTCAGAGAGTTTTTGAGGAGACATTCTTTTAATGGAACTGCTCTGTTTTCTGCCTTTGGGCAGATGAAACTAGTTTTCTTGGAAAAACCCAGATTCTCCTCTGTGACTGACTTATGAGCCGGCAGAAATGATGCAATAGTGTGCCACACATACTTTCCCTTTTGCCTCCTGCCAGCTCAGAGCAAGATAGTAAAGTTTTCCTGACCTCTGGACTTACGCACTAACTTTTATACCATTGAATGTGTTCGGAGAGCCAATCAGTACCAACTTCAATGAAGTGTCAAGCCCTGGCTTTACTGGGGCACAAGTCAGTGCTTTGTAACTTTCCCTTAAAGGCAAGGGTGGTGAGCCCCACAGGCCCGAGTGGACCTTGCTCTCTTTCTGATGTCTCCCTGGGGCTTAGCACAGTACCTGGCCTAGAGGAGATGTTCAGTGAATCTCTGCTGGACCAATAGATAGAGAAATTAGCGAAGAGGAGCAAGGAGGAAAGACCTTCTTTTTTTTTTTAAGCTAGACAAAGAGTGGACACAAAAATCATTAACCTTAAATGAAAAAAAAAAGATGAATTGGACTTGATCAAAATTTAAAACTGCTCAGCAAAAGACACAGTTAAGAAAATGAAAAGGCAAACCACAGACAGTGTGCCAATTATCAATTTATGGCCTACAAGCGTCAGATTCAGCCTTCTCCACCTTCTCTGGGGCATGTGAATATTTTCCCGTTGCCCTCTTTGTCACTAAAGGACTCTGGTGTGCTGGTTCACAGGGCTTCTGTCTCCTGCAGTGCGTGCAGCTCCTCCGGGCCTGGCTCCTGCACCATGGCAGGCAGCTTCACTGT